GGCAAGTTTTAGGTGACCGAGAAAATCTTCCTGTAATATAGAGAAAAAATTGAGTTGGTCCAAATAAATGTGATATTTCTTCATGGGATAGGATAGTTATCTTCCACTGAAAAAATCAGGACAATCCGTGAAACACCGAAATTTGCCTTATCGGTTCTTACGCGGACAGCCTCTAAAATGCGGACAGTGTTGCTACATTTAAAACAAGACTTGAAACTTTTCTATTCAGGAAATGTTTCAATTGATTCTCATGCGTAACATTTTAGGATTTTTTAAAGTTTTACAATACTTGATAATTGATTTTCATGCCTAACATTTTAGGATTTTTAAAGTTTTACAATCAGGATTTTTAAAGTTTTACAATTAGGATATTTAAAGTTTTACAAACATAGCATTTTAGGATTTTTTAAAGTTTTACTATACTTGATGTATAATGTCACAATACAGTCAACTCTCTCCAAGACGGACACCTTTGGGACCGGCACTAAGTGTCCGTCTTAGAGAGATGTCCGTCTTCGAGAGAGTCAAATAAAGGGAATAACCAAAGGCAGGGACCAACTCTAGGTGTCCGTTTTACAGAGGTGTCCGTCTTACAGAGGTGTCCGTTAAGAGAGAGTCGACTGTAGACCTCTTTGCTGATACGCCGACCATATTGAATTAATTCGATTTAAAGAGTATTATAGGAAATAGGAATAATAATGATCGCCTTTTTCCCGAGAAATATACAGTGAAAGACCATATTTCTAATACTAAACTAGAAAAAGGCGATCATTATTACATCCAAACACGGCACAAGGATCTTTTTTCCCATTACAATCTTATTCTATGAAAACTTTAAGAAAAAATGTCCCGAAAAGCACTCGAAAGTACAAACAAAACGTGCTCATGCCCCCTGGGCATCCTATAATACTCCTTAAATCGAATTAATGCAATACGGCCGCCGTATCGGTAAAAAGGTCTATTTTCACGCTTAACAATTTAGGATTTTTAAAGTTTTACAATTAGGATTTTTAAAGTTCTACAATACTTGATGTATAATGTCACGTAGGTTAGAGTCTTTGTAACGAAATGTAATGATCTTTGATAGGCTTTCATAATGTAAAGCGCACTGGGGACAGAAGTGCAGTTAATAAGAATCTATATTATTATTATTTATTATTGTTATTATTTTTGTTTTTATTTCTATAGCGCTAAAGGAAGAATAATTGAAAATATTAACAACTAGCTGCGACAGACTGAGCCCCGTTAACTTCGATGCATTTTGGTATTTAACTCTGTTACTTACTAGTACCAGCCTCGTTATCATTCCACCATTTATTATTCTTACTTGACGACTTAAATGCGGCATATAAAGAGGATTCCCTAGCAGTTGACGTACCTCCATACCAGAGCCTTCCTCTCCTTTTCTAGAAAATTTCCTCTTAATTTAATCTCTGGGGCCGCAAGATTCTTCGTTACCTGACAGCTGCAAAAACGGCGGTCGTAATTTATCTTGCAGTCGGTAATGGATTAGGAAAGTAAAAAATTTATCAGTTTTAGTATTTCTTGGAAGCTTGGCAGGATCTAGCCTGAATTTTAGCCGCATGCGACTCGAGGAAACGGCTGAAATTCAGGCTAGCCAAGATCTAAAATTTCGCAAAACAAAAGAAAAACAGATAAATATGGATAAGTACAACATTCTGCCATTAAAAATGTAACATGGCTCGTACAATCTTGAAAAGTCCTTGAATTCGGTTTAGGTCCTTGAAAAGTATTTGTCTTTAATAGGTCTTGAAAAGTCCGTGAAATTTACAACCTTGTCTACGCCGGACACCTTTTTCTGTAAAATTAGATTATTACGTCAAGGAAAATTTGGCTCATCCTCGGGGTGAGAATTTTATTTTGCGATTTCTGTACCTCAGATACAATTGCAAGTCATACCCAGTCATTTTGCAAAGTCTTGTTGCGGAAAGTTGACTAAAATAATGTGATGAAATGGCCGAATAAGTAAAAATCTTAAATGACTCCATGACGTGTTTTAGCCAATTGGATGATCAAAGGGAGCTAAAGAATGCGGATTTATTAAGTAAAATCGCCATTTTCGTCAAAATCGCCACTCTTTAAGGGCACACTTTTGCCATCTAACTTCAATCGCCAGCCCTCGCCATCCAAATTTGCCATTTTTGCCAAATCGCCAATATCGCCAAAATCGCCACTCTCCAAGGGGCCACTTTTGGCATCCAATTTGAATCGCCAGCCCTCTGGCGATTTTCGCCATTTTCGCCATTGGGTGCATTTCTGGACATACGTGGTGGATATATAAAATTATGCAAAGTCAATAAAGTGAATGAGTTTTATTAGTATATCGAAACAGAAATAGTCCAAGAGCCCTCTTATAGCCTTCGTTTTCTTACAAAGGGTGGTAAATTAATACAGCCTGGTAAGTTTCCGCGTAAGTTTCCTGTGTGTTCACCGCGGTAAAAAGAGAGAAATTCGTTTAAGCTAAGCAGTCAGAAGGCAAAAGTTCTTTCAAAGTAAGGTTGTTACTTTTACTTTCAAAGTTTACTATATTTATTACAAATACAAAGCTAATTTAGTAAACCTTTTGAAAGGCAGCACTACGAAAGCTTGAAAACTGATCGGCGCACTTATAGTTGGAGCTTGCAATTGGCCTTACTGCGCCATGTGTCAGCCTGGTTTCACTCGGGACGCAAAACTCTTTCGGCAAAAAGAGGCCTAGGCTTATTGTTTTGAGAAAACTGCAAAGATAATTGCATTGTTTTATAGACCATTTCACAGCTTTGGGCTTAGTATCCTAGCCTTTTACTGAACGTGAGGCTGGGGTTGACCTTGCTTTGACACAAACCTCTCTCGCTTTAATTGTTATGGAAACTATCCGTAAAAAATACTAGTTAGCATAAGAACAACATGATTTACATAATAAAGCGGGAAGGGTTGTATCAAAACAAAGTCAACCACAACCACATTGTTACCTGTAATTGTAAAATGAACCACCTTATTACATGAAATTTTGGCGACACTTTAATTTAGCGAATTTAGCGATTTTTCTTAAAATCTCGAAATTAAAATGCACCAAAATTAAGTGTCGCTAAATTTAAATCGTCGCTAAATTAAGGTGAGTACAATATGAAATTTTACCATCTGATCAGTTTCAAACACATACTCTATTGACCACTCCAGAAAATACCATAACATACCATAATGTTCTTTGTTTGTCACCCCAAAATTTTGCATAGGCATTGTCTTCAGTTTCTCTTGGGAGTTAAAATGGCCCCAAGAGAAACTGAAAACAATGCTTATGCAAAATTTTGGGGTGACAAACAAAGAACATTATGGTATGTTATGGTATTTTCTGGAGTGGTCAATTCGACGGTCGATTATGACGTAGTACTTGTAAAGGGAGCATTGACTGTGGACACTTGTACCTTAAATATGAGTGAGGACAGCATTAAGATATGACATTACCGTTGCAGTTTCGTTTCTTTCGTTCAAAATTAAGTTATAGAATGTTGTATGATTTTGATGTAAATGATTTCATCACATAACTTTTCTATTGTCGTCGAAAAAGTTTGAAATACCTTAATTCGCCAAAGTTTCAGTTCGTGAAATCGCGAAAATTAAATGACTTATGTTCCAAAATTTACGAAAAATCGCTAAATTTAACTGTCGCCAAATTTTCATGTAATAAGGAATTACTTTAAACATAACCTATTGGTAGCAGGTGAAATTCAACGAAATAAGCCTTAGACTGAGGTTTGACGGCGGTTGAATCATGTATGCGTTTTTTTACGGATACTTATGTATAAAAAAAAATGACTTCTTGTATAGTGTTCTACAAGATAACGAGAATTCGATTGTATGAAAATTTTATTCCCTTAAGAACTTTATGTGTGAGATATCCTACCAAACAATGAAAGTGAAGGTACAACTTGTATAATTAAAGTCGGTACAATATATGTCCCCATACATCATTGTACATGATGTGACTAATCATGCAACTGATGTGCACGATTTGTAATTTTATGTGGCGAGGGGTACTACTATTTTGGGGCTGTGTAGGTATATGCCTCTGTGAAGCATTTTAGTCTGGAATAGATTATAGAAATCAGAGAGTCTGGGTCATTTTCTAAGAAACTAATCAACTGGTTGAAGATTTTAATCTAGTCTACGGAAATCGAGGATAGACACTCAATAAATGAATGAATTTACCCGCAGCTTAGTAAGCTTTTGTTTTAGCTGAATTGTGATGGTGAACTCAATCGTTTCTGGAAAATAGCTTCTCTAGGGATACTAGGATAGAAAGGGATTTTGGGAGTAAAGTCTAGTATACGATGGAAAAGTGCAAACGATTGTGCACTTCCCCATAAAGAACCACCCCCCTATGGTTGTGGGACAAGGTAAGCTTGCCTGATACTGTGTTGAATTCACGGCAGAGCCACGTTCCATGACGTATTCTGCTTTATAAGCCTTTTGTTGACTATGCACTATTAGGGACCTTCCGATGCGCCAACGGCGACGTTTATGAAAACATCGCTGAAAACAGACTTCACATCCTTTCACTTTTTTTGCGATTATTCCAACGGGCTCAGTTACTTAAGAAAAGAAATTTGGGTTGGATTTGAAGAGAAGGGGCCGCTCTCGAGTTCTGACAGAGATGATAGAATTTATCGCCTTGCCGTTTCCGTTCCCTAGTAAACTTAATTAAAATTTGGTCAATTCACGTCCTAGTTATGCAGGGACGGCAAAGAAATGTACAAAAATGCGTGATGCACGGGCAGAATCGTTGTTTTGCTCATTAAACCTATTGCTTTTTTGACGTTCCCGTTGCCGTCGCCGTCGTAGTTTCGTAAGGTCCCCATTAACTTAAAGACAGCAACAGACGAGGTAATCCCCTCCCTCTGAATCCATCATTGTGATATTGCATGTATATGACGTACATATTAAGTTGGTTGCGATGAACGCCGTAAGGCATTCTTTTCACATCTTATAGTTCATCACTTTTACAAGTTCGTTTCACTATCATGTTTGTCCTTGATTGTCACTGCATCTGCTCCTGTGGTACTTTCATCTGCAGACGGATACAAAATTAAAGAAGCGTGTGAGCGAATGATGAATTGTTTGTGTTGAAAAATCATCTTGATTGGAACAACATTTGTGGACATTTTATGACACGTTAAAAGAATACTGGTTAAATATCATTCCCCTCACAGAGCTACGATCCTTCGACATGTGGCGACATTCTTACGAGAATGGTGAAAAAAAAAAGCTAAATTGTTCCGTGGATTTTTTTTCCTCTAAAACCGCGAGACGGTGAAAAACCGTCATGTTGATAAGATGAAACGTTCGATATTTATAACGATATTGAAATCGACTCTTTCCATTGGTAAATGATCTCAGTGCAAGTTCGGTAGCATCGAGGGAGCTATTAATGCTTCTATAACCTTTCAATGCTTCAGTCGACACCCCTGTTTAAACAAGCGGAACCAACGACTGCTTTCTGTATTATGAATATCTGTTCGAAGAAGAAAATATTGCCGAGAATTTTCTATTATTTGAGGACGGCTAAGATACCTGGCCGACCATCCATTAACATACAATTTTCGCAGCTTATCTGATAAATTTCAGTTCGTAGTAAAAAACGAAACCTAAAATTTTCGGATTCAAAAATGTGATGGAGAGGCTGGGAGGAATCAGAAAAATTCTCACCTTTGTAATACGTTAAATTACATCTAAAATTTTCAGGAAAATAATACTGAAGCCTTTGTAATTTCGAAAACACTCAGCTTTGCCTAGGATGACGGGGCAGATACAAATTTTTATAGCGCCTCCTAAAATGCATTTCAAGATATCTAAAGGTACTCTGGATTTGAGCATAAAAAGAGTTTTTAATGTATTTAGCGGTATCCGTCGTGGCCCCTGATTGAAATTGGTTATCCTGTGTCTTAAATGTTGGTATGATGCCTGTAGGCCTTACTAGATGTCAAGTGCAAAGAAACAACTGTGAAGCCCTTTGAGTTCAAGGTACCTGAATGCTGCAACATGTTTTTATCCCTGGCTGGTGTTAAATGTGCGATGGATGAAGGTGTATCCCCTGCTGTCTTCAGTGTCCTGATGCTGTTATGTACAGTGACGCGTGGACAAAACTTGCGAATGGCCTCTTGAACCTAAATGAAGTAAAGTTTTTGGATACCTGATACTACATGAATTTTTAAGGCGTTACCAACTGATTGACGTCAAAACTATTAAATTCAAGGATATTTGTTTTGTTACTAAACTACAGTTAGAGTTATTCTATTTCGTTTGTAATAATCAGTAAATAATTTATAAATTTGCTATAGCGCCTTTTAGTATATAAATTATCAAATTAACAAGTTGACGCCAGTTTTTTATTGTCTGTCCTCTTATTGATTATAAAATGACGTCATAACATTGTCAGAGTGTTATGGATCGGCGAGTGGAGCCACAACAAACTTTTCATTCCAAGGAAAGATTTTCGAGCCGTTAGAGTAACCGAACAAGTCGAAGCCAGTACGGTTAAGCTGTCTTTAGATCAAAATAGCCTGGCAGGTTTGAAGAGTTGCTTGCCGATCAAGAACTTCAGTTCTTGTATTGTTTATCGTCCTGAATGCCATTCAGCTATAAGAGCTGTGTACAATCAAACCGAAAGGTGGGTTTTATAGGCATGAAGTTTCAATTCAACTTCCAGGTACTTACAAATTCCATAACGTTTGTACAAAAAGTTTGTTTTCCTTTCGGAAAAAAAGATCAGAAAAACACTCAGTACTTGTCAAAAGAAAACTGCCGTTATTAATGTGCTTATTTTTAATAAGTTAGACTTTCAGAATTGTTTTCTTCCTTTTTTAACTTTAAAGCTATATACGAATATTAAAAGCTTATCAAAGTCGCAGTTTTGAAAGTGTCTTTTTTATTTTCCTCTGCTTAAGCTTTTTGCAGAGAATCCAAACAGATGCAAGTCTCCCATCAGAGCTGTCTGGCTATTTTTCTCAGAGAACAGAAAAAAGTGAATCTTCTCAATAACTAAACTAAGTAAAAACACCGAAGCTCGACATTCGTTCGGCAAATGACCACGTCTTGCATAAACTAAAATTTTATGTGTCTGTCCTCTTATTGATAATAAAAATTAGCCAATCAGTGTGCGAGATATAATTCAGTTATTGTAAAAAGAACTTTACAATTGTAATTTTTTTTTACGTTAGTATACGGCCCGGCCCGGGGGGTACTCGATATATCCTTGAGTGGGGAGGTGCTGCGCTGATTTTCTTACCCTGTTTTTAAAAGACACAATTCCGATTTTTGACACCCTGTTTAAGACATTTAACCCGAAACCATACCCTGTGTATCAATGCCAAAATCAACGGAAGTCAATATTAATTAACATTAGAGCTTGTAAAAATTTTGCTGTTTATCGTCCAAGAAAAGATATCCTGTTTAAGACAAAAATTGATAAATCGATACCCTGATTAAGACAAAAAATGATAAATTCGATACCCTGTTTAAGACAAAAATCCCGAAAAACATACCCTGGCTGGCCGCACGTCCCCATTAAGCCCTTATAAGGGAGTACCCCCCCCCCCCCCGGGCGGCCCGGTTACCTTGAGTTAGCATCATCAGTTTATTAGTTGATTTATTGTTGAGGTTATTTAGTTTCCTATAGGACGAAACTTTGCAGTTGTGAATGGAGAATGATTTGTTACCTGGTCATCAAGAAAACAATGAAATATCGCAAATAGGACTCCCTGTTGAAAAACAAAAAATATACTGTTATTAAGTGTCCCTCTAGTTTTGTATCTCAGTGTAACAAGGCGAAAGATCCTACGTGTACCAAAACTTTGCTTTCGTGCTTCAAATATTGTTTACAGTCAGATATCTCACAATCATAAAATTACATCATCAAAGATGTCACAGAGTTCTCACTAATCCTAAACGGAGTTGCGGCCATGGATAAATTCTTTCATAGCTATATTCAGAGGCATGCTCAGATTTTCCTGACGTAAAAGTTACGTCACATGGCCTCATAGGAGAACTTTTCCGATGTAATAGACGTGCATTCCTGACACTTTACTGTCATAGCTTCATTGATCTCAGTGAAGAATATTTAATGGTCTCCTGCAGTAAGCCAAAAAGCCCGATCTAAACTGGGGTTAAAAAAATATATCTCAAGTTCAAATATTTTTTTGGATGGGCTCTCGCGATTGATAATCGTATACTGACGTACTTTGATCCGAAATGATGTTCACACGGGCACAGCTAGTTGTATAAAGCAAATTTGTGTTATTTGGAATGTTTTTCTGCGAATATTTCCCATGTTCTGAAGTATACTTTCATGCTTTGTTTGTGTTCCCACACTTCTTAATCTGCCCTGGGCCGTAGGCCATTTCCGAGTTCCTCCGGGCCTCTGTATGAAAACGAGGTTAGGTGCTCAGCCTTTGATATGAAAATGATTTTTCATTCACATGCAAATAAAACTCATTTTCACAGGAAAGGTTTCGTACTTGGCATCATTTTGAAAATGAGGGTTTTTGGAACTCGGAAGTGGCCTATTTATCTATGAAAGCACCCAAGAAAATCTTCCTGAGGGTAATGGCTGTGCCTAATCCGTTACATGTAACTTGCTTTATGCAAGCACGCAACGACCTACTTTACCTTGTTTAACTAAGCAAAATAACTGGCTATCGTAAAGGCAAGTCTGCATGTTCTAATTGAAAATAATATAAGAACAGAACTTTACCTGAGTTGAATTGAGCAAAATGAACAGGTATCCCACGGCATAATGAAGCTCAATAAAAAAGCCCACCAGCCACGTGACACCAAGCAACGGAAGAAGAGCGATTGTGCTTCTTAGCCCTTTTCTGAAAAGGGAAAATGCACCAATTGGTACCAAATAGACGTTTTTTTACGTATTAGATTAATTTCTTAATTGAGAGAGTTACAATATCGAAGTTAGCTTTCTCTCTTGTTAATCGTAGAGGTTTCCTTACCTGGTGGCGATCACACGGTTATTTCCATACTTGGAGGATATTTTCCCAAAGATCACACGAATGAGAATAACAAACAACACCAAATTTACCTACATGGCATAAAAGTACAATTATAATATTGCCTGTACTGGATTCAAGAGTCAAGGGAAATAATGAGAACGTGTCACGTGGCGTGGATTGTCAACACTCGTCAACTTCCCGTTAAGAACAAAACTCAAAAGGGACCTAAACCTCAAACGTTATCATGTTTTATACTTTGATATCACGGGACTGAAATATCTGCCAGTCGCGCCAGTGGAGCAGTTATTATAAAAACGTACGTTTTTAAATAAGATCAGAGGAAAATTTCAAGCCCAAGGAAAAGGTGTCAAGAAAAGCTGTCAAAGCGTAAAAAAAATCTGGCCAATCTGCTCGAAACTCTTGTAGCTCCCTTCATTCCTAGAGTTTTTGAGTTTATTTTAATTAAATCACACATGTACATACATACCAAAAGAATGGCCAAGATAGGTCCTTTGTAAATCCATAGACTGCCATTAATCCAGCATCTATAAAGATTAAGAAAATTTTATACCAGGTTGTTTCAAATGTCTTTTCTAACCTTCTACGAGTTAATGAGTTTAAAGTCTAAAAATGAAAAAAAAACGACAACAGCAACGAGCTAATGATAAAATTTGTCTTTTCATCTTTTGAATAGACTACGAGCAGTCTCTCTTTTTTCTGTAGTCCGTCGAGCAAAACGCGAGACACGCGAATGGCCACGCGCGAGACTGATGGCGCGAGATGGGAGAGGCTGCCGCCCTCGTTTCGCGCGTCTCGCGGTTTCGCCGCTCGCGCGCGCGTGTGCACTCCCCTTACTAAACCGGAAGAAAAAGAGAGACTGCTCGCAGTCTATCTTTTGAAAGGAGGTGTTTCTGATAGAAGGAATCAATTAGACTCTCGTACTTTATTAGCTATTCTTTTAGATATGTTGCAACATGCAGGAACTAGAAAAACTGCGGAATATTATTACTGACTGAAAATATTACTGAGAAACACTGCAATTCTCCACCCAAAATGGTCCAGCGGGCGTCTGGGATTATTTGGGTGGATAAGCGTTAGTTATTACTGATTAGTGGTATCAAAAGGCATCCATTAACCAATCATAACTAACACTTGTCGGCCCAAACGATCCCAGAAGATTCATTGCCAAAAGTTTGTACTCATTCTACTCACAGTTATTGAAATGGTTTATATCATGTTATTCTACAATAGACAGATATAAGCCGGCTAGGAAGGCAACGTTGATTTCAGAAGCATTTCTACTATATGCTAGTAATTCTTCCGACTTTGTAAAGACTTTCTGACGAAAAACTCTTTCATGTGCCTGGCTGAAACGAGTGCTATTAAAATCATAGCCGTACCTTTCTCGCTCAGTCCTTGCAGTTAGGTTTAATGATCCACATGTGATATCAACAGTTAAAGGTTTACTCATGTCAAATGAAACGGGTCTGATCGCTGCTACCAACCCAACCATCACAGCCGGGATGACTAGAACAGGAAACAGAAAGAATTTTTATTGGTCCGGCAACCGAGATAAAAAACGCAGCTCGCGAGCAACATTTCCTTCTTGGAGATGCAAGCCACCCATAGCAAGTGATCAAAAGCTCGTGGCAACAGTTTTCGCTTCGTCAATCTAAAAGGGAAAACTATGAAAGTCGTTTAATTCCTAAATGCATGTTATATATAGTGCAGATCATTAAAAGGGTGTATTGTCATCTTCTGTACAGTAAATATTACTCAAACTCAAAGCTTAAAAATTGATTTTACGACCACAACGGTCAGAGAACGAGACTGAAGTCAACTGACATTTTTCACTTACTCCCCACAACCAACACTCGCATCAAAGAAACCTGCCATCTTTTATAATTTTACTCAGACAGGTTATAGCAGCCTTGCCAAGGCTTGCCTTGGATTAGTTCATACCATTCTGCGTTGTACACTCACATTTGCAAATATATTAAACAACACAATTTTCTTAGCCGTACTTACCCCATCCTATTCCTATGTATGTGGCGTACTGCTGTTTAACAGAGAAGACTTTGACCAGCTTAATATAAAGATTTACTCCTTCCACCAGCATCCACGTGAATAGCGCAGTTTGAAAATAGTATTGAAAAACCGCCAATGCTGAGCAAAGAGCCTAGAGAAAGAGAAGTAAGAGAATCTTAATCCTTTTAGCTCAAATGGTGACTGGCTACTAACAAGAGGACACTCGGCCAGGTTCTTGTGTAAATATAAGAACTAACTGATAAATAAATGCATCTCATATTTTTAAATTGGCACAGTTGTGAGCTGGTAAAAAGCAAGTTCCCACGCCAACCAGAACGTGTTATTTTCAACCGAGTACAAATAGTTCTTACTATAATTCGAAAAAAGAAATTATTTAGAATTAAATAATTAAATAGATTAATTAGGCCAATCAAAAAGCAGGAAACTTTTAAAAAGCTAGTTTAAACAACCGCTTGCACTAATTAATATTGTACAACTAATGTATTATCTATAGGATGGAGTAAAAATAAAATACAAATACAAATAAATACAATAGATCCTGTATGCATGGGCATAGGTGCAAATCATTCTTTTTTAGCTTTACTTCATGTTGGCTAACAAAAGGGTTTGAGTTTTAACAGACAAACACATTGTACAGAAACTTGTAAAACCAAAGCCACTTCACAGGGGGGGCTGGCAGCGAGGTCTGGAACCGAGTTTATATGATCGCCCCAGTTAAGAAATTTGGCCGAGTGAGACTGAGTACCATTTTCCTTCAATACCAACAAATGTGGCGAAGAATGCAGACATGGAGGGACGATGAGTGTTTGCTCGGTTTTGAGTCTTCCCGCGTCCAAACATCAAGGAAAGGTTTTCAAGAACATTTTTAATGGAATTTGTGGACATCAGGAGGCGTGATGTATGAACAGCTCTTGGGTGACTAAACTTATCGTGTTTCGGCATCTCTGCAAGTTCAGTTATTTATAAGCTTCGTGAATTTTCGAGCAAGCAGCCTGGTCTCCATCTCTTATATTTTTCCACCTACAGCGGTATTAAGAACTCTCTTCCTTATCCTAAACATATGCTACGAGCTCACTATATTAGTATGAGTCTTGCAACAGTCACATAGGAATGTTCATTGAACAAATTTTCTATTTCGCTGTTCGTCAGTTTGTTTGTAAACCGGGAGCCACAACAAATATATATGGGCGAAAATACAGTATACAGGGCCAATTTAGTAAAAGCCAGAGTAAATTTTCTAATCTCTTTGCTTCACATATACTGGGTCTGTCAGTAAAAGCTATTTTTAATATTAGAAGGCTGGAAGGGTTTTACTGAACCTTCAAAACCGTCACCGGAATATCATTAGAGTGATAATCAATAAATTTCCAACAGGAGTACTGTATTTAGTAGTTTCGTATTAGATAGTGACTTCGGTTTCAAGTATTTCCTTGGAATTGTTTGCACAAGAATGACACTGTAGTTCTGAATTTTAATTGAAATGATTATAATGGTTTAGTGTGGGGAAGAGGCTTATCCAGTTGCTAATAAGAGTGAGTACATCAGAGACCGGATATGCATTGAGAAAATCCCTCAAAGGACTGAAGTACAAGAAACAGAAAAAAAGAAAATTGAATGTTTTGCAAAGTTTATAAAAAGAATCAGAAGGAGCTTGAAAAAATGTACAACTTCAGTTGTTTGTGTAAGTTATGAATTTGATTTACAACAAAAACAAACAAGGTAAAATTGATTTTTTATCAACCATGAAAAGAAGTTATTGTCTCTGAAGCCCAATCCCCTCAGCAGTTCTTTCTATGATACTACCCTTGGCTTATTTGGCCTAGATGGGTATGTGCTGCTGATTTAGGGTGGTGACCATTTCACCCTTTAGAGTTTTGAACAGGGTGTCTGTTTGGGCTGTGAAGGTTGATGAAGACCAGTCTATAGTTACATTTTTGGTACCACCATTTTTCCCCAAGTTTTTTCCATGTTTCTAAGTTTAAAAGTTAACTTAATTCTGTATATTAGTAAATGAAATGAATCAGAATTATAAAATAACGGCTCCCGGCTTAAAAAGGGTAGGGAAATAAACAATGTGTCCTACTATGCCACCCATAATCTCTTTCAGGGCAAGCCCAGGGAGGGGATCTGACATTTTAATACCCTTTTACCACTTTTTGTAACAGCAAAATCAGTGAATGTTCATGGTCTCTGAAAAAGGTTTTTGCCTGCCTCAACAAAAGTGTCCAACTGTTATTCAGTTGACTACAAATAAATGTATTATCTTAATAATATGATTTTAAATTTTTTTCCAAGGCATCCTATGGTGTTTTTCATATCCAGTTGAGAGGATTTGAGAGGATTTGATTTCATTAACTACATTTATATACAGACACAAACTAACCTGGCAGGTTGATGTCCAAAGGTGTTAAAAAGTACATGCAACTGTATGGCAAAAACTGATCACAGTGGGCAAAGGAAAGGCAAAAATAGAAATGTCACCATTTCCCTGACTTTATAAATTCCCTTTGAAGCATAGTTAGCCAGGTGTGATCCTTGTCAAAACATGCAAAGTTGAACATTTATTTTCTGAACCTAGCTAATCCCCAGCAAGACCAGAAGAAAAGAGAACGTAAGCTCCACATTACCGCGGAAAAAAATTGGTTACAGCAAAGTCGAAAGAAAGCAATGACCAACAGGATTAAATTCACTTCACACTGTCGAATCACTGCGAAGATGAGCTCCTTGTTGTTTTTCCCAGCCCGTTTCGCGCATGCTCGCTACAGTTATCGAATGATTGACAGATTTCTTAACTGGGGCGATCATGGAAAGCCGAAAAGTGGCAAGATCAAAGGCCGTGTCCAGCCCCCTCTGCAACTTCAAAATAACGTTCGACACTTTTTTAAATACTGCACGAATTAGTGTAAGTCAGAGGCTAACCTGCAGCCTATTACTAATCTTAAAGACTGTCCTCTTGCTTTTTTAATTGATTTTAGCTTTTTCGTTCTTTACCAGTATAAACAGGAGAGTTTGTTTAATGATCATGAGATTGTATATCAGATGATAATCTTTTATTGTTCAAATTCATTCCCAAGACCGTTACGCTTGATAGCCTGTTTAAGGCTTTCACATCGTAGGGATGGTGCATCGTTTGACGAAACTGGCCTAGACATTTTAAGGATAAAATGGTAGAAAGTTTAGAATTTCTAAAATCACTCGATTTTCAGTAGGCTTAGGTAGGGCTTAGCTTTTGTTTGTTTGTTTATTTTTTGTCTTAGCCAATCCTGCATGAGAATCCTGCGTACGAAAACATCTCTCAGCTAATGATCGCTCGAAGTGGATGAATCTTTACTTTACTTACAGTATTTTTCTCTCTTGTTGTAAACGAGGAAATGTCCAAAACATAAAGCAGACTTCCAACACCCAGCGACACGAGGAGACTCTTGTGTATAAAGATGCGCTCAGAGTTTTTCAATCTAAAATATAAATAAAGTAACACCGAAATGCTTTCAAATTGAAAGAAAAGAAACTGCATTGAAGTAGAGAGAAGTTGGAGTGAGTAGAATTTACAGATCCCATAAGACAACCTTTGAGAGCAAAGCTCATTGCATTATTGAGTTTAGAGACCTTTAACAACTGTTTTCCTGTTATAAACACTCATTTTTAATGAGTCCCATGTCAAAATTAAAATTCTTCCCTTTGACGATACTCGTTATCCTGCCAGCGAACATGAAAAAGCACGAATGCTTGAAATAGTTACGAGATCGATGTTACGGTATTTTACAATATAAACTGAAGTAACCATCTAGTAACAGCATTCTTAATCCACACATCCCAAGAAAGAAGTTCTCCAATTACGACACATAGCCGGCGAACCGGCCACTGTGTAGAGAGTTTACTCCTTTGATATGAGTAGACAAACTTGTATAGCAAAGTTATTAGATCTCATCAGTTTCGCCAGTTAATAGTTCTTAAACTCTGCGGTGTTTACCAAAATCAAACCCTTTCATATCATACAGCCGCTTGGGGTGGGTCAACTTCGTCTACAGAGATTTTTGTCAACTTCACTAAAACCAAGGAGCAGAAGTGGACGGCGAAATAATGTGAGGGTTACTTTACCTTAAGGCCGACAAAAGTATAAGAGCAAGAACAACAGCTGCTATTGAAATGCACATCAAAACCGTCTCCATTGTATCCTGAATTTTTTTATTCTTCTGAAACTCCTTTGAATTGTCCTCATGATACAGGAAACTTTCCATCTTCTAAACAAAGGGAAAAACCAAAATATTTTGTTCCACAAAAGGTCATAGTTTACTTTGTAATGTTTCCAAGTAATGTTTAGAACATAAGCCGCAATCAACATGATTTGTTAAGATGAGACATTAAAAGGCGAAGCACAACTCCGGATATTTTTGAAACCCCTTTATACGAATCGGCGTTCGAAACAAATGTATTCCTTTCAACGAAACCGCATCTTTTTTAAACTGCTTTCCAGAGTCATAATTATTAAAGCGGAATGGCTATGAAACCGTTAGATTCTTTTGTTATATGTTTTTGTTAGCTTTTTCATAGCATTACTATGATTTTGAACTTACTGACCAACAGAAACATCTTATTAATTTATTCAGTCCCAATTTGTGAACAAAAAACAAAGGATTCTCATTGTGCTCGGTCAGGGAGCTTTCAACATAAACTACAGCACCGTTGTTTTCAACTTTTTTTATTTGATGTTTACCGGCTGTCATAAACAGTTTCCTCTACTAACTATGCCAGAGTGAATTTTTTTGGATTGAACAGGTTTGGCGAATTAGTAGGCGAATGAAACCGAATTATTTTTCAAGTCAACAACGTCATAAACTCGGGTCCAGGCTTAAATGAAACCTTGCAATTTCAAAATGAAGGACAACAACCTTCTAATTACTTGGATACTGTTCCATGGCCAGTTTCCAGTATATCAGAATTTTTAGAATGAAGCGATTGCCGGTTAGAACTAGGAAAGATTCGCCAGTGTGCTAGATATAGCTGGAACAAAATGACATAAAAAAATGACATATCACTGCCTCGATTTGCGTATGGTCACTTGCTAGTAGTTAGCAAATGTAAATCGCACCACGTACGCGTGTGGATATGTGACGAGGCCCACTTGATCTCAGTAAGGCGTGCTCGTATTAAGGATATTTCATTTGCAGCGTACGCGTATAGGGTCCGTGCACACTTCGGCTAATCTAATTTTCCATTTTTCCAACAAAAACCGAAAAAGGAAATATTACTTATTCTTATCATATTTGCATATTTCAAAGTACAGAAAAAAGAGAAAAAAAGAAAATGGTCAGGAAAATCGATCATTTTTTCATTTTCCTAATTTTGAAGTTAAATTCAAAAATACAAAAATACTGTTAACGGCTAAAAGCGATATTTTGCTATTTTTATTTTCTTAATATTATTAGAACAGTGAGAAAAATAAAACAATCTCCGAGTCCTAGATCCTTTTTCCATTTTTCCGTTTTTCCCAAAAAATAGAAAAACAAGAAAAATGAAAAAATTATATTTATTCGGACCATTTTTTCATTTTTTCATTTTGCTCAAAAAATTAAAAGATCGAAAAATGGCATACCTATCGCCTAATTTTCCATAAACAAGAGAAATGAAAAAAATGACAAGTGTTGAGAATAATTTTTCCATTTTTTCATTAAATAGACAACAAACAAACGATAACGGACAATTTTTCATCTTTTGTTTTAATGAAAAATAGAAAAGAAAAATGACAAATCATGAACATTTACCAATAAAGAAAAGAAAAACCTAATCCACCTTAGACTCACTAGTTTTGTTAGACGATTTACACAAGTTCGGCGGAGACGTGGGATGGGGAGGGCGGGTGTGGGTCCTTTAGTTCTCGGAATGCGAACGTAGTTTCATTCACGTTTGGATTTGATTAGCTGATTCCTTTACCTCATTAATTAGGACTCACTCTGTGACCTGTTCTAACACTGCGTCACCATAAAGTGTTCCTGTTCCATTCAAACTGTGGAACGTTTCCCCATACTTGTCGCATGGGTTTCCCGACATTAGCGATCTTTGCTCTCGTCTTTCCAGGGCTGGGTTGCTTAAAAGGTGGACAACGCTATTTCAAACTTATTCAATTTCAGAACTTATAAGACGCAAATATCTATATAAATATATAACGCTATCCGCTGGATAAATAACCATCCAGTAAGTCCAGTAGATAACGCAATTGGTTTCCCTATTTACATAAAAAATTATCAGGCTGCTGGATAGTGGTTTATCCGGTGGATAGTCGCTATCCAACGTTTAAACAAATGTATGAGCAAATGTATGGGGCCAGATCATTAAGATGTTCTCTCCCGCGAGTGTATACTAGCCGCCTCGTTAAGTTTCTCCTCCATAATATTAATTCAATATACTTTACTCTTGCAATCCTAAAACACCCGTTCTGCGGCAAGATCCGTTATTTCGACAGGCTAAGCAGTCTACTTTTGAGAATCTATTTCATTTAAAAACGTCTGACCTCTTCACTGGCGTGCTCTTTATTTATTTTGTGCATGTGACTGTTCAACGACCTTCTTTTTCACTCCTTCCCCTTGATCTCTCTCACGAACTGCTTTTTTTAAGCTGGGACCATAGTGTTGCTGGCATGAAAACCGTTGAGTTACACCCCCCCCTCTTTTCCCGTTCCAATTTTCACGCCTTCTCCCCCTCCCTCGTACCCTTTCTAATATTCTTCATTTTCACGGCCGGTACGGTACGGTTTTCCCACCGCTTTCATCCACAGTCGACTCCCGACAACTCAGACCTTCAGGGAAATCGAGATCAAAAGTGAATGGAACTACGTCCGCATCTCGAGAATACTTGTGATGCTGCACTTTGACTTATAAGGCGCGAATATCTATATAAATATATTCAAATGACTAAAAGCAAGAGAGGATAAAGGGGACAGAGAAGACATCCCCCATACACACCCTGTTCCATAGGTAATTCGTCTCGAGTTATTTTTAGAATCGGGATAAAGTTACCTCGTGCGCTGCGTGGATGTTTCCTGGAGGTTCCGCATGACTAAACGCTGTGCAAAACATGTCAGGCGAAAGGCAATGAAAGCGTAAAGAGATCGAGAGCATTTCTAAATATTGAAGCGAAATGAGTCGGCGCTCACCTGGGAAAAGGAAATCGCTAGACTCCTTGACAACCCGTGCAATAAGTTTAACTCGAAGTTGTCGTAACCTTAGTGCTTTAATGAAATGAGAAATTTCGCCGGTCTATTGAAACCGGTCGTTTGTATAATAAAGTAAGTGGGACGCCAAGGGTTATTTTTGTTGAATAATAAAAGACTAATAAAAGAATAAATATCAAACCAGAAATTGCTCTCTTCAAACCGTAAATTATAAATGATCCTGAGAGAATATTCAGTGTGTTAAGGATTTCCCTGCTGTACTGTTAGCTCTATACAAGAGAGGAGAGGCGACTCTTATTTAATTTCCGTTTCTCTGACACCGCTTTAGCAGAAATCTCTCTTTAGTCGTTTTCGTCGACAAAACAAATAGCGATATCGCTCTCCGTGTCTTCTGCCATTTTTTTCTGCGTCAATTTGTTAAGAACGCGTGGCTCTGAGCGTGGGTCATCTATGCGGAACACATTAGCGCTATGTGACTGGCTGTTGTCTAACCCCCCTTGGGATCTATGGTCTTAAAAATAACTCGAGACGAATTACCTATGGAATAGGGTGTGTATGGGAGATGCCTTCTCTGTCCCCTCTATCCTCTCTTGCTAAAAGTTAAAAAAATAAGTTCTGTTAGCATAATCTTAAAAATTATAAGCTAAAAATACAATCTTATAATCTAAGTGGTACAAAATGCTTTTTTGAAAAGGTGAGTCTTCAGCTTTCTATTAAAAGTGTCAATAGAAATGGATTCCCTGATATATCTTGGCAGAGCATTCCATAACTTACGTGCGGCAAAAAGAAAGGCCTTGGGTTTAACATTCGGATAATTAAGTACGGTACTGTCGCTAGAACTTCTTAAGTTATATTTAGATACAAGCTTAGGAGTAATTAAAAAACGTAAGTACGAAGGTGCCAATCTTTAAAATAATCAAAATCTTGACTTCTTGAGCAATTGAGTGAGAAATATAAACGAAGTATAATTTTTGATTATTTCATACTAATTTTAACTAAAGAGTGGACACAATAAAAACCAAACTCCTTCATTGACAAGCAGCAAGTATAAAAGTTTTGTCGTAAAACGAGCAAAATTAAAAACGTACCTCATCGTATGTCAGCCTGGTGCAGTTATTTGCCCTCAATAATTGCTGTATTCGTTCATTAGTCTGATCATTTGTCTGTAAATAAAGCAAAAGAAATTAGCCTTATATTAGCCTTATTTTAATTTTAGTCAATAATGCCTGCTTCCACTTTAATGAATGCGCGCTGCTACTTAAAGATGTCGCTGTTATTGTTCATCTTTTAAAGCAATGAACTCTCACGAATTTAAAATGATATAAAAACAAAACAAAAATAAACTCATCTTATCGTTCACGGTTTCCAGTCGCTAGTGCGATGTATATTTTCAAGAATTCAGCCTAGATTACCTCATACTTGATAGCAGACAATAGTAGGTTTACCTGATCTGACCACATATCTACCAAAAGTTTACATATTTTTTATCTTTTTCTTTTCTTTTCCTTCAGAATGAGCTTCGAACTTCCACTTTTAGAACTCTCATTATTATTATTATTATTATTATTATTATTAATATATAGATTTAGCCAGGGCTAAAAGCGAAGCTCCCATTAATAAATTTATAATTTAAATCAAACGATAAACTTGTAATCCACAAATCAGTTAGTTAAGGGCACATTCATGTGACTTTTGAGGGAAAGGCCAAGTTATTTTAGAGTGAAACATCTTACATCGAGTCGATAGCCTTATATGTACGCCCAAAAAATAGCACACATCTTCGATCACATTCAAGAGCCACAAATGGTTCTTGATCACAGTAGATTAGGCCTCGAAAACAAATTAGGCCGAATTTTTTTGCTTTTGACAGGTTTACTTTACAAATTATTGCCAACAAATCTGGGGGTGTGTAAGCCAACCTTTTATACTCTTTATACATCACATCTGAGGTGAAACAGACCTTGGACAGAATGCAGCATTTCACAATTTTTCAAGACAAATTGCACTTTAATGGCCAATATTCAGGACGATCAATCGTGGGCTTTTAGCGAAACCGTTCAAAAAAGTTCTAAAATCACCCATACGGCCAGCCGGTTCTCATTACTAGTGCGAGCTGTCAGTGTGGTCGAGTGTTTGAATGAACTTTAATGGAGTTACGCTTCAACATAATAACGAATTTATTATTATTATTTTTGGTTATTTAATGGTTTCAGTTATAACGATGTGTAATCTTACAAGGCGTTTGATACGCGCGACATTTATGAGTACTCCTGCAAGCGATGTTCATGAACGATGAAAACAAACGGCACGTACAAGCGATTAAAATTGCAAGATAGACTACTAACAATCAATGAAAGAAATATGATTCGGTGAAACATTTACAGAGACAACAATTTTCTTTCACGAAGACAGGTATTAAAGTGTCTCTAAAAATCCTGAGTCTTTAAGCTTAAGTTAATTACGTTTCACTTTAAGCCGGCCTCCCGGTGTTTGCCTTTTTTGTTTGCAGATGTATTTTCATTTTGTACATCCAGTGGAGACAAAGACAGTTAAAAACATCACAAGTTGACACAAAACTCTGTCAGCTTCAACTGTCAAAGTATACAACTTTCAAGATGCTGCATAAATTTTCCGCATGAACTCACCTGTCAATCAGAGCATAAACATTGGACGTAGAGCGTGACCAACGCGTAACCATGGTAAGAAAAGGTCTTCCTTGCCTGTATTTTTGAAAAACTGGCTGAATTTTCGCGTCCGAGGTCAGTTTGAAATCAAAATTTTAATAGTGCGGGGCCATAATGACAGAGACACAACATATTTCACATGAATCATTGGAAAAAATAAACTTGAGCCTGCGATCATTTAAAACTGGTAATTTGTCAGCCAATAACTTCAAAAAATACTCGACCTCGATGGGTCGACACTTGAGCCCGCGGTACGGTCATGTGATACTGGTCAGCGGATACCCTGTTTTGACAGTTGTCAATTGATCACAACATTAATGTGCAATAAGTTTTCTCCTGGGCTCCCAAACTAGCTAGAAAGTGTGAGAGTAAACATTGGTTTCCCTGTGGTGTGGACGGATGGTCGTTTGTTCGTTCGGTGTACGGTCACGTGATTACCAAATTTTCTGGAATTGGTAGATTTCCTTAGCTATGGGGCTCCGCCCCGCGCTTGGAGCGCCGCTATTATCATTATCATTATCATTATCATTATCATTATCATTATCATTATCATTATCATTATCATTATCACTATCATTATCATTATTATTATTATTACTATTATTATTGTTGTTGTTGTTGTTGTTAACTAATAATTATCTTCTTTGTTATGTTTACTTTAACCCCTATCGTGCTAACATGAGTTGACGCAGTCATGAACAGAGACTCACCTCATTGTTTTGCATAATTTTTGTCTCGTTTGCCTGCGAAGTGTTGCTTTTTGTGTTGATAACAACTGGTGTAGATGTCGCGGAAACAGCCGCTGGCAGCAGCGGAGCTGAGTTTAACTGCAGAATCAGCTCTTCTCTGGGTAAGGTCGCCACGAAAACTGGTTTTATGAAGTTCTCTTTGAAGGGGTTGGTGCTAAGAAATTAAATAGTTAATTGAGTTTTAGATTTAAACCTGTTAAGGGTAATTTTGGTCTATTCCAGTTGCAACAAATCAGCAACTCTCTAAAGCAAATGATATATCATTTTCATACAAAACTAACGGTGTTATCTGAAATTAGTGCACATGATTACACATCATTTTTTACATAGGAGACACCATGTAAAACTGTTAATAGTCAACCTAACGTAAACTAAATATTAAGCCTAAAAGTTATTCTTGAATGAATATAAATTACTTAATCACTTAATATCTAAAATTCCGGCCACGGGAAAACCAGTGGAGTAGTAAATGAAAAAAAGAGTAAATCAGACAACAAAAAGAGACTGGCGCTGCTGTATTTGGTTTCTTGCTGAAGAACGAGCGCGAACTCCTTTGTTGAAGGTGTTAAGTGTTTTCAGGATGTTTTTTAAGGCTCTCTCAGGGATGGCAAACTTGTCGGGAGCCTACTGAAAGGCCACGATGCTATCTGCCTGTGGATTTTTTTGTGTGTGTATGTGTGTGTGTAAATCTCTGCGATGAATACCCGGCGACTTATTTATAATAAACGGTATGACAGTAATCGATGTCAATTGATGGTGAACAAAACTCAAAACTACTGGTGACTATCGATTGGCTCATCTGTAAGTTTTGAAACTAACAACCATCGATTGAATGATCTCCAATAATCTACTTTTGTCCATTTACCACGCCGAGTTTACAGTCTTAATATTCCTCTTGAAATAACACATCTAACTGGTCAGACCAATGCCGTGAAACTCATAACAGCTCATGACTATACCATTTAGTTTCTTAACGGGAGCTCCTTTTCCCCGCCCCCTTCGGGCAAGATTTCTTAACATTGGCTACTCACATAAACGTACGTACGTATCGGAGACGTAGCATTGAACCCTGTCTAAACGCTATGGTATCATTAGGCGCTCCACGGAGAAACTCCAGTGCTTTATCCGCCAGTGAATTTCGATCATAATCCTATGAACCGCACAACGTTTAATGATAATAGGGCCGTTTAAACGAGGAAAAATAAGCTAAAAATAAGACGCGTCTTAGATACGACATGTCCTAAATAAGACTCAAACTATCCCGTATAAACGGCACATTTCGTTTGAAATTTAGCTAAGACGCGTCCTATCTAAGAACAGCCCCTAACACCTGTTCTTCGATAAGACGCCTCTTTGCTAAGTCGCGTCTTATGTGCCGTTTATACGGGATAGTTTGCGTCTTATTTAGGACGCGTCTTATTTTTCCTCGCATAAATGGCCCTAATGTCAGACTAAAAACCTGCGGGGAAAACACACTTTCGACAAGAGCACTTTAACCTTTACATTCAACTCCCTTTATAGCGTTCAATGTATAGGGACCTCGAGTTAGTGCCCTCTTTAGCGAGAGTCTGTAATAGTGAGAGTTTATTTCAGTCAAACGTCTGTATATTTTCTTTCAGCGGGGATGTAGCTGCTATGCGTATTATTGGGATGTCCGTAATAGCGGAGTGTGCGCAAGGCGAGAGTTGACTGTATGATCAATGCCTTAGTTTTCAGTACGCTATATTACTGTTGTAATGTCTGGAGCAACACTTCTGAACACAACCTGAATAGGATCCAAGCTGTGCAAAATTTTGCCGCCCGTATCGTTGGCAACACAAGGAAATATGATCATATTTCTCCTATATTTCCAGCTAGTGGCTACCAGTAAGACAGCAGCTCTTCTACCGTCATGCAATTATAGCTTTTAAATTTGTAACTGGGTGTGAACCAGATTCGTTATTTTCTGAGTATAATCAAAGAGCTTGCATCACTAAGCGTACCATGAAGAATTCCCAACTCTAATGTTTTATATTCCTCTGTATAAAACTGTGATAGCAAGAACCTTCTATTTCAGAACATTTAAACTTTGGAACTCACGACACCCCGCCCTCAAAGTGAAACCGACCTTAAAGGACTTCAAGAGTTGTCTAATTTTATCTTTATTGTGAAAAGCCTTTTTGGGACGAATAAAGTACGTATGTATGTACCTACCAATGAAGGCTTGCAGAAGGCGGAACTGCTGACAGCGTAAGGAGAGGAACTAGGTACAGTGTTGATCACGTGCTGTAGGGAAGAGAATTTAGGGTAACATATTGTACCTCAAACTTCCAATGCAAGCCACTTTGTTATGTTGTGCAGAAGTTGAAGGCAATCCACTTTTTTTTTTTTTTTCACGCTTCAAATTTGGCACTGGTATTTTCCGCATTAAACAGACGGAATTAACATCCTCTGGTTTTGACCATAGTTGGTAAGCGGCTCCTCCTCAGCGCTTAATTAGGGGGCGGCGCTTATTTGAGTAAATACCGTACATCAACGTTGACTCTCTTTGTAAAGTACATTTATTAAGGATAAGCTTAGAATGTGATGCATCACCCAATAGCACATTGTTCAAGGATTTGTCTCTTATTTGTGTCATGAAAGATATTGTTCATCGTGGATGATGTGTATAAAGAGTTTTGTTAATCGTTTGTCTCACGATTGTCCTAGATATTTTGACCGCGTAGTGCAGGTCTTCATTAGGCAATAGAAGTGTCACTGTCACCTGATGAAGACCTGCAGGAAACGTCGCGATCAATATATATGTGACAATATGAGACAAAGGATTAACGAAACCCTTTCTATGTAGGTTTTCTTACCATACAGTACTGCAAAGCTGCATCAGCATTTTGGTGAGTAAGTGGAATCAGCAACTGAGTTGTTGCAATATTAAACAGCTCTGTGAAGAAATCCTGAAATGATTTAGGATTGATGAATTCTTGCGCTTGTGCTGAGCGGACTAACTCTTCCGATATATTCATGAAGTTGGTTTTGTTGACACCAGCGATCTGGACAAGATAAAAATAGAATTTGATAAAATTCACGCTTCGATCAAGACTAACTATTTTATTTCAATTTACGTGAACTGCTTTATGAAGTAAGAAAATTCCCCTCCCAGCTGACAAGAAACATACACTGATGCCTTGGTTACAGTTATGTTATATATGTACTCACTTTGCTTCTGAAGTAGTCCACCACGCTTTTCTTCTCACAGTTGCAGGTAGTTTTGTGCAACCAAACTGTCTGTAAAGCGTTTCGGCTGCATTTACTACCAAACTCTCCTAGATGATGAAAAATAAAGTTGAATGTAAGTAGGAACAGAATTATAAATAAACATACAAACACACACCTTAATATTTTCAATGTTCTCTTGCATATTTTTCAGTTTCAGCTGCATTAGGGTTGTAAGAGAGCTATGTTGCTCGTTAACATCGCTTCAGTGTAGTGTATTCCCAATATTAATAAAGATTGCATTCAAGAGATGCGGTATATGCGCGCTGAGGAAACGTCTTCTTGCATAAAACCTCCGGGGGGGCACTTGGGTATTTTTTAGGTGGGTATGTGCCCCCCGGGACTCCAAATTGGCACCTCGTTCTAAAAAAAATTTCCCCTGAAATTGATACCCCGTTCTGGAAATGGGCCAATTTTTATCCCCCGTTTTAGAATTCGCCCTAAAATTGAAATGGGCCAATTTTTTATACTCCGTTCCAGGGTGCAACAAGAGTATAACAGTTTGCTTGTTAACGCATTGAACCGTATTTTTAAAAGCAATCTGTCCTTGAATAATTTCAAATGGCTGCTTACAAAACTGGAGCTTTCGTGCGTTCGAAATATTATACCCCGTTCTAGAAAACGCCTCTGAAATGGATACCCCTTTCTAAACCAGGAGCTTCAAAATCACGACCCCGTTGGGCGGCACATACCCGTATAGGTAATGTATGGGAGTGCCCCCCCGGGATAAAACCCTTTCATTTCACTATTCCAAGGAATGAATCTTCGCTGAAAGATCATTGCAAGCTTCTCAAAACTAGAAAGACCATTAGTGGGACTTAACGTATTGAAGATAGTCCGTCAAGACTAGGAACATCTTTGTCACAATGGAAGAACATATTTTGAATTAGCAACAATGATCTGTGAGACACTAAGCCTAACCTGTCCATGAGGGGTCTACCATTGAACACTGCTTTAAAATTTCCTTGCCCTCTTGAGTTCTATTCCAAAGAAAGCTATGCGCCATCTCATAAGGACAATAATCTGCAAAACAAAACATTTTTAGAGCAAATAACACAGAATAGCAAGTCTGATACCATTTTAACACATGTGCATTTTTGTTTATTTGTAAACTATTATGGGCAAACATTTATTAGGTACAGGCGTGTCTAGAATGCAGGAAGAATAATTTCCTGTTTCCGGGTGGTCAGTAGTCAGCTTCTATTATCATTATTACTGACAGCTGCTGATCTCACCGTTATCCTGCGACATCACTGAGTTGAGTTAATGGAAAAACTTCCGTGACAAGGCCAGACGTAACACCATACTCTTTACCCCCGATTTTTTTACTAACATTTCAGCTGTGCAGGCTCGACATCTTGAAGACTTAATATGATCAGACAAGATGTAAAAATGCATCGAGCTGAGCATGATCGGGAAAAAATGTCCCTGGCTATTGTCCCTACTTTCAGCAGTGAACCTCTTACTTTGTTACGGAAAATGGTTCAATAGGGTGCTGTTGGGTACTACCATTTTTCTGACTCTTGAATAATGCGAGCAAAAAAAGAGAAATTTTATAAGTGGATTGATTTATCTCTTCATCCCCAGAGTGAGTTAAATTACTTTTAGCTCAGTTTTAAGTCTGAGGACAACATTCAGGAAGTAAGCTCCTCAGTGCGATTTGCTTTTCAATGTTTTGCAAATCACCGAAATTGTAATTTGAGTCTGGGGATGACATTCAGGGATTAAGCTCCTTGGTACGATTTGCTTTTCAATGTTTTGCAAATCACCGCAACTGTAATTTGGGAGTGTGATTGCACTGGAAGACAGAGGACCCGCACTGATTTCAGCAGTATTATTTTCAGATATCGCTGTTTTCAGATTGTTATTGAAATTTAAAGGCTCTATGTATACTTGATATAAAAAATCATCCTTTTCTAAAACAAAGGACTTTGGAATATTTTAAATACTTTTTCATCATTCATAGCACAGCGATGGACGTGTCCTCTCTTTGAGAAGGTCACTAGATGGATTGGACCTAAAGACCCTCTCAAAGAGACGACACTTCCATCGCTGTGATATGATGTAAAAATATCTATCAGGGGAAATTGACTTTAAGGTGGCTCGACTGGATTTTTTGGGGTTGATACCTCCCCAGTTTGAGCATCAACTACGTCGGCATGAGTAAAGATATGGAAAAAAGGTTACCACAGCTGTATTATGTAAAGATGAAAATTTCTTATGATCTGGGTTTTATTGTAATCGGAGTCGCCATGGCAACGTAATGACGCCATTACGTTTTTCATTTATCTTTGTGTTTCTCTATACCGGGAGTTTTTTGAAGAAATCGCTTAAGGGAGTATGTACCTGCCATGATTGCCTCCATTATGGCAAAGTTTGAACAAATTCTGTGAGAGCGTTTTCGAAATATTTTGAAATGCTTTTTTAAGAATCATAAAAACAGTGAAATAGCATGCTAGCCACACAATTCGCTGATATTTTAAGAAAATGATAAGTTTTGGGAACGCGGACTCATCTCATAGTGCTTTGATTCCATTGAAAACTGCATACAAAAAAAGAGGGGAATTGCTCTGGGCGATCCCGAGTAAGAAGAATTTTATTAACTTGCATTCAGCTGCTTTTGCCTAAAAATTTCGCATTTTTTCATAAACCGCTCGATAAATTTTTTTATAAATTCGACAATCCCGAGATCAATTGTCAAGAAATATTCCCTGCAAGTTTCAAGAACATTGAAACCAGGGAAGGCTTTTAAATAGGGCCTCAAATATAGCCAATTTTCCCCCCAGATTTTGTGTTTACAAGTGAGCGTCGCATCAAAAAAGACCCTCGGTTAAATCTCCGGGATATGCTAATTACCGGGTAAAGAGTTTAGTGATACATTATAACATCAGAGCAACTCTCTGTGAGAGTTTCTATGATGTTATAACCCGAGTAAGATAATTAAGTATTGCATCCTACACGATGAGCCGTGACGTTCACCGTTTCGGCTCTCACTGCTATCTATGACGACAAGCAAATTATTTGCATATTCCGAATATTTCTTCGGAAAGTAATCGAGAGTTCTTTTTGATGCAAATTTATATCTTTTGCTGGTTGTGCACGTGCATATGAAACTTGAAAACAATGCCAGTGAATAATGAGGACGCTCACTTGTAAACACAAAATCTGGGGGAAAAATTGGCTATATTTGAGGCCCTATTTAAAAGCCTTCCTTGTTTTCAATGTTCTTGAAACTTGCAGGGAATATTTCTTGACGATTGATCTCGGGATTGTCGAATTTATAAAAAAATTTATCGAGCGGTTTTTGGAAAAATGCGAAATTTTTAGGCATGGACCAAATAACGTCCAAAAGCTTTATCAAAAGCAGCTGAATTCAAGTTAATAAAATTCTTCTTACTCGCGATCGCCCAGAGCAGTTGCCCTCTTTTTTTGTATGCAGTTTTCAATGGAATCAAACCACTATGAGACGAGGCCGCGTTCCCAAAGCTTATCATTTTCTTAAAATATCAGCAAATTGTGTGGCTAGCATGCTATTTCACTGTTTTTATGATTCTTAAAAAAGCATTTCAAAATATTTCGAAAACGCTCTCAGAATTTGTTTAAACTTTGCCATAATGGAGGCAATCATGGCAGGTACATACTACCTTAAGCGATTTCTTCAAAAAACTCTTGGTACAGAGAAACACAAAGATAAATAAAAAAGGTAATGGCGTCATTACGTTGCCATGGCGACTCCGATTACAATAAAACCCAGATCATAAGAAATTTTCATCTTTATATAATGCAGCTGTTGTAACCTTTTTTCCATGTCTTTACTCATGCCGACGTAGTTGATGCTCAAACTGGGGAGGTATCAACACCAAAAAATCCAGTCGAGCCACCTTAAATTTGACATCAGGAGCAATAGTAATTTTCATCAGTTTATCAAACTCGACGAAGTAATGATTTACACCTTCCTTGCGTGCACACCAATTGGGGCAAGCAAACTTTCATTTTTCAAGCCCCTAACGACTGGAACAACCCAGACAATGACACTAAAAACAGCAAATCATTGTCCCGTTTTAAGGAAAAGCTTAAGACTTTGTAAATGATACCTAATCCAATATTTTAAACTATTTTAAAATTAGTTTTATATGAAAAAATCAATTTTTATCTCTTTCTTAGTTTTGAATTTTTTTAAGTAGGGCATTTAGCATTTATTGTTTTTGTCATTCTGTCATTTATTATTTTCAGGGCCCCAATGAAAACCGCTTAGGCGAGTAGGCTCCCTGGATAAATATTATTATTACTGTTATTATTATTATGTCGCAGTATGAAACTTTGGGATGCTGTCCACATTATGAGTAGTATAGGGCGCATAGCGTGACCTACACCACCTGAGAACCTATACTTAGAAGTAAAAAAAGGTCGATACGAAACCCAATACGATCCTAAAATACATAGTGATATGAATCTCTCTACTTAAAAAGCCAATTTAGAATATTATTAAATTCTGATACTCTGTAAAACCTTCGCTATCTCTCCTAAAAGCTTATTTATAATAATATCAAACTCTTATGTTCTAAAAAATCTAAGTAAAAACGTCAGCAAGCTTGTGTTTCTAGATTTCTAGAGAAAAAACAAAAACCTAAAAACTAAAGTCCTTAGTGCCCTAACTAAGTATTTATCTTAAATGTTCTGGCAATGTTTAAAGTGTTCGAGATGACCGACTTCTGCATCCGCTCAAGTACGCTCCGTTCTCTCGCCCCAAGCAGCTTCCTCACCGACTTCTCTAGGTGTTTAGAGTAACCACCCAGTACGTCAATTATGACGTTGTACTGTTCAACCCTGTAACCATTGTATCTCTGTTTCAGCTCCCACATCATCGGCCCATATTTGAGTGTCTTTTCCTCGTCTTTCTTAGCTCTACTCTCAATCCATGGGCAGCTCATTTCAATTGTGCAGACTTCTTTCCTCTCGTGGCTGACAAGTCGCGCGTCGATCCGATTTGCTCTAACTTCGTTGTGCTCTGCATAGATGGGAATATCCCAAAAAGCCTCACTCGTGGTGTTCTGGTAGGCTGGTTTTGGCATCACCGGTGAGTACCATGGTGGAACCTCTTC